AAAAAAAAAAAAAAAAAAAAAAAAAAAAAAAAAAACCCAATGAGATAACTAAGATTGAGTTTCTAAATTAAGATTTCAATATTTGTCTTGGCTGGGTAGTATGTAAAACCAATGGGCATTCATCAGAAATATAATGTAGGCTGCTTAGTTGTAATCTCTCAGCTTTTTTCTTATATTTCCCTGGTTGCGTTTATCCAGATCTGCTTGAAGTTATGTCAGTCTAACTGTACTGCTTTGCTTGGTGTTTGTTAGGTGCGTGCCCATGATACAGATTGGTCATTTCCCATTGAAATAGTGAAGGAGGACACTTTCAATCTGTCCTTGAAGAAACGTGACGGCACTCGAAGATTCTTACGAACAGAAATTCGAGGATATGAGGAGGGTTCTCGCTTTATAGTTGTATTTCGCCTGGGATCTGTTAATGGTCCTATCAGGTACCATTTCCTGAATCTGCTTCCTCTGCTAGCTACATTGGTTTGGCTTGGTATACAGTTAGTTTCCTTAGCTGCTTTCTCTGACTCTGTGTAAGACCTTTTCGCTTGATGCATTGTTCTTGGTACTGCCTGTTTTGGTACCTGAGTATTGTGTTTAAAAATGTCACAGAATTGCATTAAAATTATGGAAAAAATAAATATATCTTTGCATACTCTGAAATTTTAAGTTCATGGATTGAAATAAATAAAGAAAGAACAGCGAAGGCAGGAGAATTAATCTCTAAAGGACAGACAAAACAATTGTAAGAAAAAAAAAGCTCCAGGTCTTTCATAGCTGTCACTGCTACTCTTCTGCCCACCTACGGCCAGGCTGTTCTGTTACATGTGTAGCTTCTACTTGCCTGCTTTCTATTATGGATTGATAAATGCTTCTAATTAGCATAGAACCACACCTTAAGAAAGTATGATCTGAGCCTGTTGCGAAAATGAGAGATTTTCTTTGGCTAAATCATTGTAGCTTCCTTGTGTTTCTCTCCGGCACGAGATTTTCTTTGGCCATATCAATGTAGCTTCCTTGTGTCTCTCTCCAGTTCTTCCTTGCCTATGGCAATTTTTATGCTTCAGTTAACCATTTAACCCAATTTCAGAAAGAACCTTGTCGATGGGTAGACTCGATTTTATTGTCATTTATCCTTTCTTTTATGGAGTACACCTTGTTTTTTTCAGTTTTTATGATCATGTTTTATCCCATTAATTCCTTCAGCGATCTATTGCATGAAAATTGTCAGAATTGTCCTGAAACGGTGTTGTGTAGCTGATTTAACATGTGTTTTCAGTATGTACCTATATGACATCAAAACTAAGGTTATCCCACTTTCAGGCATGACAAAAATACATCGATAATTACTTTATTCAATACTTCTATGGTTTTTGTGCTTTCTTCTGTATCAACTGGGAATTCCTCTTTACAGGATTGAGAACAGAACAAGGAACAAGGCCATGAGGGTTCGACAAGCTGGATTTGGCGATGATGCATGGATTCTTTTAGAGCCACTTTCAACAGCAAACTTTTGTTGGGAAGATCCATATGGCCAAAGAGTTATCGATGTTGAAGTCTATGCTGGTGATGATATTGGGAGTTACAAGTTTGATTTGGATAAAGCAGGGCTCTCCTCAGTTGATGAGTACTCTAGTTTATTTCTCCATGTTGCGAACGAAGGTGACATCAAGGTTGTTAGATTCGTTGATCTTCATGGACTACTTCCAAGATCTAGAGAAGCGAGTGGATCGCTAATGCTGGAGGGGAATCGGGGAAACACTCGTATCCAGGCTAAGATGCCGGACCCTGATCAAAAATCACCTTTGGAACTTATAGTTGAGCTTGGCGTTATTGGTATTTCTGTTGTAGACCATAGACCAAGAGAGATTGCTTACTTCTACATGGAGAAATTGTTTATTTCATATTCGGCTGGCTATGATAGTGGGACAACAAGCAGGTTAGAATGCTTCTTGCACCTGGTTTTGTTAAATATTATGTTGTCTCCTGAATGTTGTAATCTCTGAAGGACTTGCAGTAACATGTTTAGTTACTTGATATTGTATGCGACACTTTTTGATCAAATCTACTAATCTAACTGAAAAAATTATTACAACTATGTGTCACTCTGACATGCAAATGGATGTTTTGTGCCATCAACATTGTTTAGGACACTCTTGGGTACATGGTTAGGATTTAGGAACATCTTGTTTCTTTTTGGAGCTATCAACTTAGACTGGATAAATTATTCATGAAGCAGGAAAAAAAAAAA